CCCCCCCCCCCCCCGGCAAATGAGGCCGCGAGAAAGGGGAGGTGATGGGGGACGTCAAGCAGGCTCATCTCCTCTCTGCTTTGAGCTGCAGTCAGACTAAAAGGGCCCCACCTCCTTGTAACTACCTGCGCGGTTTTGTTTCCAAAAGAGAGAGAGAGAGAGAGAAATCGTGATGGGAGGTTTTGCCACGGAACACCCCTTAGTGGTGTTATTGCCCCTGTCTGAAGTTACTGCCACAACTTCATATTATCTTTGATTTTAGGAATAGCTTTTATCATCTGCCCAGGACACCCTTTAATGCTGTGCACTTGACGTTTTGTGGTTTGAAATCTCAACCTGGGAATCGAGGGGCCTAACACATCTGGAACTTAACCCCCCCCCCAAAAAAAACAACCCCCACCTTCTAATATTTGAAAATTACCATAGTGCACCTAACAAGAATAAAAAACTCCCCTCACTTCTATTACAAAAAAGTTAGACCCCCATTATACATACAGGGCCTTATTCTCTTACCCTGCGCCTTGGAATCATTTACACCATTGCAAGTGGATGTAGTATTCTACCAAAGCAGAATGATAACGTTTTTGGTCCACTATGCATTGGTGTAAGCAACTTCACAAGGTGCAGTGCAGTGAGGGGTCAGGACCACATATTCTAGCCCCTGTAAAACTTGGTATTGCTGCATCAAGCTTATTCACATTTAAATGTGAGATTTATTTAAAATCGTCACACCACTATGTCACTGTCTTAGAGAGCCTGCCAAGCTGTATATTCTGAAACAAATTTATTTTTTAAAGACTCTAGAGTTTTGCAGTCTGCCTTCAATGAGTGCAGTGACCATGACAGTGTGTCTAGTGGAATGAATGTAGGACTAGGAGTGAGAACCTCCTGAGTTCTAATCCTGATTTTGACACTTAGGCATGTCATTTTAAGCTATTTATTTAGTAAGTTTTAAAAAGTTTACAAATCTTTGCCAGGTAAATATCAGAAACAAAATAATCATTACAACAGCTAGCTTTCATTTAAAGACACATTATACAGGAATTTAATCATTCACCACTTCTGTTTAACAGGGTGTTACCATACAACAGAGTAAGCATCATTACAAGAACTTAGGCAAGTCATTTAACCTGTGTGCCTATTTTTCCAGGTGTAAATTGGGAATGATAATTGACACCCATTTTAACATTTATATACAGTTTTTTTGAGAAGGGTAGAGCCCGATTCCCCTCTCAAACCAGTATAAATCAGAAGTAACTGTACTGAAGTCATTGAGTTGACAATGTTCCAAAAACAGTGGGAACGTAGGAATTGTCAATTCCAATCAGGGCAGTGGTCCATTTTATACAGGATAAGTACTGTCTTTTTAGCTGTGACCAGCCCCAGACTCTTCAGATAAAGGTGTAAGAAACCTCATTGTGGAGTAGCCTGACCATAGAGGAAGTTTTTCATAGTTGTTTTTGTTGGCTTATCCCCTGAAGTATGAAGGTTTCTATTTCTTATACTATTTTTTTTATCCTGTGAACAGGGACTCTTGATGTTCTCGTTAGCTATATGAGGGAAGAATCAGACATTAAGTGCTAAGTTATGTACATGGAAGATATGAACCCTGAATTTTTCTGTAAAAAACAACTTTTCTATCACTGAGTCAATTACACACTACACACAAAGAATTATTGTTTTACTCTTGAAACTATCACCTTCTGGCCATCTCTCTAGCTTAAATGTTTATTTTATTATTCCAAGAAGCTTCTAGTGCCTGAGGAGAGAAATTGATCTTATACTTAGAAATCTTGGGAATAGAATTTGGGTTTGTAGTTAATGTATCAGCTTTGGCCCTATCAACACTGGTTCTCCAGTGAGGTAACTCCCTTCTTTTCATGTGTCATTATATAATGCCTGCATCTATAATTTTCACTCCATGCATCTGAAGAAGTGAGGTTTTCTTACCCACGAAAGCTTATGCCCAAATAAATCTGTTAATCTTTAAGGTGCCACTGGACTCCTTCTTGTTTTTGTGGATACAAGTATCAGGGGGTAGCAGAGTTAGTCTGTATCAACTTTGGCACTGATAGAATTATCAGCAAGTTAGCTTTAAAATCAGTTACTTTGTGGCAAATTGTAGAGTTAGGAAATACTTTCTAAAATGTTTCTATTGGCATCTAGTTTCAGGACTAAAGTCTCATGGCAGGCAAATAGAATATTAGAGTTGTTACTCATTTACAAGTCAGTAATAGTAATTGACGTTTATGTAGGAAATCACTCCCCGCACCCTCCCCCGACTGCCCCAAGGTTTCCAGAGCGCTCTAACTAGTCAGTTAACTATTGTATGTAAACTTAGTGTCATTCTGAAAGGCGCATATATATATATATATAAAAAATACATGCATAGGCCTTGGTCCTTCAGTCAGATGGGCCTGCACCGTGCAGAGTACCCAGGGCTTCAGTGGGGTTCTGCATAGGTGCATGGATCCTCCCGTGTGGATCAAAGTGCAGGATCAGGGCCGTCATTCATATATTACATTTTAAAAATAGGTTTTTTTAAAAAGATGTGCTCACTTCTGAGCATGTTCAGAGAACATCTTCCACAATTTTAGTGGTGCTAATTTGCATACACTGAATTAACAGGACTCTTCAAGTATCAGAGGGGTAGCCGTGTTAGTCTGGATCTGTAAAAGGTTGCTTTTTACAGGACTATTCAAGTGAGTAAAGTCATGCCTGTGCATATGTGCTTGCACTATCAAACCCTGTCTGTGCAATGGTGATTTAATGATATTCTGAGAAACTTGGCATTTGTTTCCTTGCCTTTTTTAAAATTTTTGTTAAAGGGGAGATGGGGGGGAATGGCGAAAATAAATTGCCCATGCACATGTGCATTAAGAATGACAACATTGAAACAAGTTTTTCCTTTTCTGTGTTACTAATAAAGCCTTAGCCAATCCTTTTCAAATGTTGGCCACAAGTCCTTATTTAGGTGCATTAATAAGTGGCTTGTGACTTCAGTGGGACTCCCCATAGGAGTGACTATATGTTCAGGCCCATAACCCACACCATTTCAATCCTATTCTTATAATCTCCCTTCTTAAGTATTCCAGCAACAATCCTTAGACCGGTGAGGCCATGCTGGGCAAGAGTATACTGGAAGGGACAGTGCTGTTGCTACACAAGCGGTACAGCTATCAAAAATATTTTGTCAAAATTGGACTCTGCTTTAAGAAAAAAAAATGTTCTGAGCATGCTCAAAAGGATCACAATTGTTATAGCCTTTGATGGGGGGCAGGAAAATACTAAGTCACCTTTTAAACACTTCAATAATTAAAGAGATTTTCCTTAAACTTTTTGAAAAAGTTATACAGGGATTGAGGCCGAGGACAGAGTTTCAGACCCAGAGAAGAAATTTAGAGAAAACTGAGCATTGGAAAGCCGCTTAAAGCAGAAGTTGTGACAATCTCAAGACTTAAAGTTCACAGGCAATTGCTGTTAAGTAAACTAGAAGAATTGTTTCATTCACCACTAGAATGAAAAGTGGTTGCCATACAACAGCATACAGGAACACTGCACTTTGAAATGGGAGGTTAATAGTGTATCTAATTGAAATTGCAAGAATTTTAGGCAACAGTGACATCTTGTACTTTACTTTTTAGAAAGGGTTGGTGCCTCTTCATATAATGATTCACTACTTGACTTTTCTTTTTGACCTCTTTCTCAGAATTAGTCCTTTTAGCCTTTTTTGCTGCAATATCCATCTGTAGTTCATAGGTTCTTCACACACATCCAAAATATTTGTAGACAAATTCTGCCATTGGTTACGTATATCCTATACCAGGTAACTTCATTGGCCCTTAAATGATTAAATTGAGGGTCCTCCTGCTTATGAAATGGTAATGTAGCACAGCACAGACTCAGCCCTGCGGCGCCTCCTGCTGGTTGTCCTTGGGAATTAGCTCTTCAACCCAGGAGCACCCTCTGCAGGCCGGTGAACCGCTTGCCATTGGCCCCCTGTGTCCCTCCCAGGACCCTGGTGCCCTTATCTCAGGGTTCTGCCTCCTGCAGTACCCCCACAGTCTTGCTGGGTTTCCCCCACCCCCTATCCCCACGTCACCTCAGTCGTGGCTACTGCCAGTCTCTGTTTAGCCCCCGTGCTCTGCAGTCTATCAGCCGATCATCACAGGCAACAAGGGGTTTGGACTGGCTGCCTTTACCCACCCTCCGGCTGCCTCTCTGCAAGCCCAATACCTAGGTGGGCCTAGAACCAGGCCCTGCAGCCTGGGGTGTTGCTGGCCTAGGGCTTCCCAGTTCCTAAGGCCTTTCCCCAGCCCTGCCTCCCTCTAGGTCCCCTGGGTGAGTTCCCCAGAAGCCAGGCCTGTCTCCCTCTCAAGTTAGAGAGAGACTGCTGTTTCTTCTGGCTTCCCTGGCTGCCTTATAAGGCCCAGTTGCTTAGTTTGGGGCGTGGCCCCAGCTGTAGCCACTTCCCCCAATCAACTGGGGTTTTACTCCCTGGCCCCGCCCCAGCCCTCTGCAGGGCTTTTCCAACCTCTTCTGGGCTGGAGTGAGGGGTCACCCTGCTACAGGTAACCATATACTAGGCTAAAAGAAAAACAATTCAGAAGCAGAGGTCTCACTGTTTATTACCTCAGGGTAATTATCATTGTCATTATCAAGTTAAAAGGGAATATCTTCTAATTGGAAACATACTTTCCTTGGCTACAATAAATATCTCTGTACTCTGGCTACTGTCCTCAAAATTTCCCAGCCACATGACCACAACAAACACAGCTACCTCAGATTCTTACCCCCTATCCAAACTGGTTCTATATACTCCAGTTTCATCAGTCTTTGTTTCCACACACTTGTCCTTGCCCATTGGGGATGGCTTAGGCTCTGCCCCATACTAAGATAGACCTGTCAAATTTAACTCATTTTAGATGACTTTTAAGGCAGTCTTTAAATCTCATGATGAAATGTTTTGCTGTGTTTCAGGGGCATTTAAAACTTCCATTCACGTTGTCACAGCATGACACTTGGAGGTTTGAGTGGGGGCAGGGTGGAAATGGGCTGAGAAATTGAGATACTTGTTTGTTTTGGACATACAGGTGAGGAACTCTGAGGGCAGTAGTTAATCGGAAGGGAAATATTTGCACAAGGACTACAATGATTGAAAATATATAAGGCTAGATGCTGAGGTGCACCCAGAATGCAGAGTGTTGGTCAGGGAAGTGGTGTATACAAAGTTGGCTTGAAGCTCCTACTTGCATTGTTGTGATTCTGTTGCTATTCAGTGCATTTCTTCTATGTGCACTGTTTGGACATCGTGAGGGTTGGCATAATATAAAGGTGTCCCAAACACACAATGTTTATAAACCTTTCCCCTTACTCTCGCAGTTAAGTGGATATATGGTATATGAATCCCTACACAGGCTTATATAGTACTCCAATGTCACACGCATTGGCATGAGTGACGCTTGGCCCCTTACTCTGATCTGAACACTGATTAGAATGTGGTATCACAGTTGGTTTCCCCCAGCCCTGTCCCAATATTAACTTTCAAAAGCTAATTTCATTGTTTTAAAAAAAAAAAAAAAAAAAAGTAGTACAGGTCATTTTCAGTAACAGTAAGTGGTACTTGTCTCTCCTACCATATGGAGTTGTGCTTGAAATATTGTAGTGACATTTCCATTAAAATTACTTATTTTTGAGGATTTAATAAGACTGTGCCTACAATTAATTACAACATTTAACAATTAAAAGCATCTACCAATTTTATGAGAGCAAAAATAAATGAATGGAAGTTGATGTTTTTGTTATCCTAAAGCAGTTGAAAAACACTTTCCTCTTAACTTTTTTAAAGGCATTTCTCCATAATGTTACCTTAGTGCCACTGAAGTATTTAAGAAAAGATAGTGGCCAAACTATTTTCTTTTAAAATGTTAATGTATTATGAATCCAATATTAACACTGTTGTTACTTTTCTATATGGGCTCACAGTGTGTGTAAATCTGCTGGCTACTCCTCCAGTCCATTCTCCTCTTGCCTTCGGAGTCTCTGATGGGTAGGTGACTGGGGAGACTCCCTTTGTGGTGGGGTGCTCGAGGTCTTAACCCTCCGGTGCAGCCGAAATGCAGCATTTCCACCGCTTTGTGGTCTTGTGGTCATTAGAGCCCCTTCAGAAGTGTTCTAGCAAGGCAGGCAGGCAGCCAAACCATAGCAAAGTTTATTGAGTTGGTTTCCAGCCTAGTAGTTCTTATTGTCTGAGGTTTCAGAATGCACTTTATAAAGAGGAATTGTCATTATAAATGTTAATTGTTGCTGTAAAGCACTCTTCATTTGTAAAGTTCTTAAACAATAACTAATCCTCAGCCCCTACATGAGCTGAAATATACAGGATAGGACTTCTTTTAAAACGTGCTACTTGTTTTCAATTTTTAAAAAATTCTAAATTTCTAAAAAATACTGCAGTGGGTTTCAGTAAGGATTAAAGGAGTTTCTCCATAATTATAAACCTTCGTGGTTTACATGTTCAGAGCACTGTACAAGCATTAACTGACTAACCTCCATACCACCCCTGTGAGGTATGCAAGCATAGATGGGGGACACCAAGACAGAGAAGGTGAATTATTCAACATCAACTAATGATTAAATGTAGGAGCCAGGATTAAAACTCTACTATGCTTAGTATAGACTTGTGGGCATGAATTTTGAACTAACATTTTTATCAGTGGGAAAAATCAGAAAACATCTATCTACAGTTTTTTATATATGTATTAATTTTATTGCACCATAGTGATTTATTCGATCAGCCAGAATAGCTCCAAAGGTGCCACTGCAGAGTACTGGTAAACAAAGGCTCACAAAATCATGATATGTAGCAATATGCTTCAGTGTTGTCAGGTTTGAGACAACAGACTTCAAATTAGTATGCATGTTAATATGGTTTCTGCTGTAGATCATTATCCAAATCAAGATTTTTTTTTTTTTTATATAGAACTGGAAGGGACCCTGAAGGGTCATCGAGTCCAGCCCCCTACCTTCACTAGCAGGACCAAGTACTGATTTTGCCCAAGATCCCTAAGTGGCCCCCTCAAGGATTGAACTCACAACCCTGGGTTTAGCAGGCCAATACTCAAACCACTGAGCTATCCCTCCCCCCATATATATATATAGAGAGAGAGAGATCTGCCTATCTCATAGAACTGGAAGGGACCTTGAAAGGTCATTGAGTCCAGTCCCCTGCCTTCACTAGCAGGACCAAGTACTGTCCCTGACAGGTTTTTTTTGTCCCCTGCTGGTCCCTAAATGGCCCCCTCAAGGATTGAACTCACAACCCTGGGTTTAGCAGGCCGATGCTCAAACCACTGAGCTATCCCTGCCCCCAATAGCAAGGTTGTGATTCACTAACAAATTTGTGCATTCAAACTCGAGTCTGACTCTTAAGACCTGCCCCTATTCTCACTGAAGTTGGAGAATTTTGGTGTTTAGTGGGAGCAGCTCACACCCATACTCTGTCTTTTATTGTTAAAGTTACTAAAGGAGAGCCAGCCTTGATGTAGGATTTCAGACACAGAAATTAGAAAAGGAGGAGACTTAGTTTATCTAATTCATTCCTATGTTAATACAGGATTGCTCCCTCCTCCTTAACCTCTGTCCTCCAGCTCCTCCTTTCTATCAAACAAGCATGCCTTGATCTCCATCCTCAATAAGTTGACTCCATCTTCCTGCCTATCTTCCTTTTTCCCCTTCACCTCCAAGCCTATCAAGCAGGCAGACTACAACCACGGTCTCTAGTTTTCTCTCCCAATTCCACTCTGAGTCCTTTCCAATCTGGCTTCTGTTCTTTCTACTCCATTGAAACTGCTTTCAACCAAGGTCTGTCAGTCTTCTCCAGGCCAATTCCCAGCATGTGTACTCCATCCTGTGTGACCTTTCTGCTGCTTTTGACATTTGTTGATCATACTCTTGCTTGATGTTGTTCTCCCTTGGCTTTCATGATGCTGTGCTTTCCTAGTTCTCCTTCTACGCCTCTGCCATTCCTCCAGTGTGTCATCCTCCTCTCCCCTTTTTCTATAGGTCTCATAGGACTCTCTTTAATGTCACCTTTTTGGCAGACCTCATCTACTCAGGACTTCAAGTGCCAACTCATGCATCCATCTTTCTGCTCCTAATCAGGTTTGGATGGAACTAAACAATCTTCCAAACTGCTTGACCATCATCACCTCCTTTTATGTCTCACTAACTATTTAAATTTATGATGGCCCAAACAATCTTTCTCCTAAATTCTGTTAACTCCCCCCATTTTTGGGTATGGGGGGGGATTGGAGACCTACCATCCTCCCTGTCCTTGAGGCCCAAAACCTGGGTCATCTTAAACTGTGTCCTCTCTTTTGCCCTTGACATTGAGATTTTCTGAATCCTAATATTTCTGTAGCATTTCTAATATCTAGCCTTATCTTTCTGCCCACCAAGCTAAAACTGTTGTCCAGGCCCTTATTGTCTCCTGTCATCTCCTCTCTGACCTTTCAACTAAGTCCCCTCTCTAGTCAGTACAAAACACAGCCATTAAGATGATATACATTGCCTGTCAATCTGGCCATCCCTACCTCTTGTTGAATTCAGCTTTTGGCTTCCCCTTCTTGACTATGTCAAGTTCAAACTTCTTGTTTTCTTTAAAGATCTTCCACAACTCCACCCCCTGCCAGTTTGTCCAACCTTGTCTCTTGCGGAGTTACCCCACGCATTCTCTTCTCCAGTAGTGATGCCAGCCTTGATGCCTTATTAGCATGAAGATTGCTTCTAGAATATTTCTTCTTACTCTCTCCAATACCTGCTCTGCAAGACCACTACCTTGTCTTAAATCCCTTCTAAAAACCCTGTGACGGGGTCCTCCCCTCACTCCTAAGACGGCACCTCCTCCTGGTCACTTTGGAGAGTAACTCGCCAAGTCAGCTCCATCTTTCTCTGTCAGTCTGCAGCACCTCTCACACTCCATGAGCTGCTGCTGCTGCCTCTTCATGACACAGCTGTCTGACCAGGTCATGATGTGTTCTCCCCTTCCAGGTCACCAAAGCTTTTCTCCCTAGCAACCTCAGGTAGTCTTCCCTTTCACTGCCCCCCAGTGCCATTCCTCAGTGGCTGGCAGGGGGACCCTCTAGTCAGCAGTCAAGATCTGTTTCCTTTTAGACCTTAGGCTCAGGGAAAGGCAGTTTTTCCTTACCATCTGGTGCTGCCTTCTCTCTGGGTTTGCTAGCCTCCTAACCCCCCCCATCCAGGGAGTAACTATGGGCTACCTGTCGCTGTAGCCTCCAAACACTTCTCCCAGAGAGTGACTTCAGACATTCCCAGCAGCCCCTCTTCAGCTAATTTCCTGTCTTTATAAATCCAGCCCAGCTGGTTCCTCCGCATCTGGTCTCCCTCCATTAGTCAGGGGATTGCTTAGCCACCCAATTCCTCTCAGC